AAACTAGCTCACATTCAATCAAGCTCTCTTGCGAGTGCTTCACGGTCCAAACACGAACGATCTTCAATCCAAGTTCCGGCGACTCCAACAGCTGGCTCCATTGCGAATACGTACGCTCCTTCGAAGAGAAAAGGGTAATCATCATCATATCCAAAGCAGTGGCTTGCCAGTCCGCGCCCTTGTCCGGAATGACGTTTTCGTTGATAAGAAGCTTGCTGTAGCCTTTCTTCATGGCGCCAGCAACTTGCTTCAAGATGCTCTTGCACACGTCGTCGGGCCAGTCGTGCAACACGGAGTGCATGTAGTATGCTTTCGCCGCTGGGGGTTGATTAGCGTATGACGGGTAGCTCTGCAGCTGCCAGACGTACCTTCCAATGGTTGCTTGGTATGAAAGTCATACTCCATACGTTCGATGCTGGGATCCAGTCGCTCGATCCCGTCAATAACGGAAGGTCGATCTTGAAGCACAAGACGACCAGGTACCTGAGGATACTTCGATCTAAATGTGTCGTAAGCATACGAATCTGGACTAGGCCTTGTGGCAACATACCTGAATTCTTGGATGTCCTGACCGTAACCGCCGCCAATGTCTACCAACAAGACGGCGTCTTTATAGTTGTCCATACCGTCTATCAGCTGCTCCTGCACAGGGTAGAAGTTCGAGTCCATCCAACTTGGTCGACCCTGGCGATAGCCACCCATGTGGTTGTTGAATTGCTGACCCAGGGGCGGGTGTGTATCCAGATACCGGAACATGTCAAGCTCAGTATTGAAAGCATACTGATACGGCCCATTGGTTATGTCTGAGGTGAGCTGGTAGTCGTTCTTCTGCAAGTACTCCGAGAACTTGCTGCAAGACTGGTGGGCTCCACCGCCACTGATTTGATCAGCACCGTACTCAGTTTAGCAACGTCTCAAGCACCGAGAACACTTACAGGGCTGGATAGCCATCTCCAATGATAGGGATAGTCAAGGCCTTCGAGAAGTTTGTCGCCATGTATTCATCACTGTCGGTCTCCGTGATGTAACCCATGGCTGCAATGTGCCTCATCAAGCGAGCTACCAGTGTAAGCGAGGTCGCGGAACGATTCGCTAGTATACAAGCTTACCCAACAGTTCGCGAGGCTTTCCAAGCTTGTTCGCAATGTCGTCCACCTTCATTGGCTTGTCTCCAAGTACACCAAACACACCTGCATTATAGCAGGTGGTGATGGCGGTATGGCAGCCGGGCTAGTGACACCACTTAGATACAGAAAACTCTACAAAGATCTAGCACATACCTGGGCCCAGTTCTGCTCGATCATGGTCTCACGGGGAGTCTGCAGCGCCCTGACGAGCGCTTTAGCCTGCGAAAGCATTGCCATGCGAGTGTCATTGTGATCAACAGAGGGTTTGCCCCCGAATTCTGACAGCTTCTCCAGTAGGCATGGAACGGCGCTTGGGTCGTTCGCACGCACAGCAATGCCGAGATCGACCAGCATGTTTGCAAAGTTCTGACACGTTCAAAAGTAACGAGCAAGGGGTAAGAGGAACGTAATTGGGCGGTAAAACGGGTTGAAGGTGAAAGGATTCACGGCACTGCTGGATGTACAGCTGATACGTTGCTTCCTTATAACTGCAAGTCAATTCCTTCAGTCCAACTCCCGAGTCTCCACAGAGATGGACAGCAGCATTGCCGGTGTGGTCAGCGGCTTGCGACTCATGGCGGCGTGTTATCAGACGGGAAGGATGTTTTGGCAACAGCAGGCGAGAAGAATACCCTGAGGCGGAAAACGGCGCAGCATGACAAGCTTCAACTGAAGGACGATGAATCCGCGGAGCATTCACACCCAAGTCAGTGGGCCTGACTTCCACTTCAATACCATCGTCCGTCTTGGCACTCGAATGATGGCCTGCTGGAGAACAGCCCCCACTTGAAGGACCTCTGATCAGCTATAACCAACATTTGTAAAGGTGATCCTCTGTAAATAGAGCAGGCTTGCAGTTGCAATCTAGTATCCCATCGCTCTACTTACTCATTGGGAACGTTCTGATCATTCCATGAGCTTCAAAATGGGATGAAACAAACACCAATAGAATATCGCGATCCCTTGTAAAGGGGAACCGTTGTCGCGAGTGGTGTGAGTGTGGGGAATGGGGCTCGAAAAGAGTCAGTGGCAAGCCGAAACCCCCACACGGCCCGTGGCTTTGGACCCGAAAGAGCGGCTGAGCGGCAAGCCGGCTAAACAGCCACATTAGTGCGGCATCGGCAACGCAACCGTCGCTAAGTGGAGACCAATCAGCTCATCCAGGCACCACAAATAGTCACTCCATCGATGATCCTACAGCTGCTGTGAGACACACCCTGTAGAAGGATGTGAAGGATGTGAAGGATGTATGTGGGCAGATGCGGCGTAGTCTTCATGAGTATAGAATGAAAAGATTGGAAACCCCAAGGCAACACAAATTTCCATATTAGTTGCTTTTCTTGTCGCTTCCCAAGATCATGTTATCGACTCCCGCAGACGGGACGTCCGTTGATCAATCGATGAACCGAGCGGGCCGCCTGACAACGTCCTTCACCCCTGTCATTGGCAAGACGTCTGCTTACCGCTGGCTGAGCAAGTTGGCGACAGGAGCAGATACCTTGTCCACCGGAAGTCAGAGAGACCCATGCGCGAATGCATATCTGAGCTGCTTTCGTAGACCTTACTCCAAGGCTGTATGCAGTCTATTAGAAGACATTTCTGACCGGAATGGCTATGATTGGGTTGGGCCACCCGTTCAGTCGATTCTTTTGACGGGCCTATGCATCCGATGTACGTGCGAGCACGTGTGGGCCTGGCGTCGCCCACGCTGCATAGAAATGATTACTCTCGCGCTTCCCAGTTCAGAAAATAGTCCGTAGACTGACACACGATCGTCAGCTTTCTGAAAAAGTACAGTCGTTCCGGAAACCATGCCCGGCACCAGGGGCGGTGCGAACTTCTGAAAGCTCCCAGGTCTAAGCCGCATCGCTACATGACGAAACTGCGCACGAACTCTTACGACCCCTGGTGTTGGTGGTCAGAGGGCGATAATGCTTTTGCAGGCATGCGCAGGGGATGAGCAGAGAGTCTGATGTTCAGTCGAGCTTATATCAAACTGAACCTAGGCTCCAGCACTGTAACTTCTTCCTCATCATCTGGTTCCCCACCTCGCCTTGTTGCAACATGGCAGTATCGCAAGATCTTTCCGAAGGCTTTGCCCAACAAACTAAGGGTCCAACGGTTTTGGCAGTATGCATCTCGTTGACGACGGTAGCGACTGTTTTCGTTGCGGCCAGACTCTATGTTAGAGTCAAAATTCTATCAAGACTAGGCCTCGACGACTGGCTGATCATATTGTCGATGGTGAGTGCTTTCTTCATAATCTTCTCACTAGCTCAGCATGCTGACACGTCGTGTAGATATGTGGCTACATCATGCTTGGCCTTACGATAGCAGCCGTACAAGCTGGAAACGGACGACATTTCTCCGTGCTCACCGACGAGCAAAGGTCCGGTGCTATATTGTACACCCTCGCGGGCTTCCCTCCCGGTATATTCTCGTTTGGAATCCCCAAGCTGGCCGTGGTCGCTCTCCTGACGAGAATCACCAACCCTAGCCGGAAACATAGGATATTCCTGTGGGCTATGACCGGTGGTTGTTTGTTGATTCTGTTTGGCTGTGTCATCATCATCTTCGCACAGTGTACGCCTTCTCGGTCGCAGTGGGACTTCTCCGTCCAGGGTACTTGCTGGAGCCCATGGATTCTGATCTACTACGCCATCGTAGCTGGAAGTAAGTTCACAGCCAGTAAACCTAGAATATGACTGACCGTCGCGAAGCTATCTCCGCCGTCGTGGACCTCTACCTCGCGATATATCCCGCCGTTGTTCTGTATGGACTACAAATCAACCTCAAGAAGAAGATAGCCTTGAGTGCCGCGCTGGGACTGGGTTCTATGTAAGCTTGCGTATGCTTGTCTTGGAACTTCCGCTCACACTTGAAACAGTGCGGCAGCCGTAGCTGTGTACAAGTCGACTCGACTTCCAGCGCTTGCGAGCCCTGACTTCAGCTGTGAGTAGACCCGCATTCGGTGTTGAATCAGCCATGCTGATAACGCGATACAGACGATACGGCCGACATCACTATCTGGACCAGTATCGAGGGAAACTCTATCATCATCGGCGCCTGCATACCGACTTTGCAGCCATTATTTGACCGCATCTTTGGCCGGGGAATCTTTGGTAGCTCACGCGGTGAGCAAGGTCCAAGTGGATACAGATCGCGTAGTCGGTCGGGTGTGAAGCTCGCTACAATCGGGAGCAAGACTCTTCGGTCAGCCAAGCAGCATGGGAAGTCGGGCGTATCTGAAACAACCCTGGGCCACGATAGCCAGGACAGTATCTTGAGCCCGGGCTTTCGGAATGGTAGCGAGGAGAGTAAAGTGGAGACAAACTCCGGCATTACGCGAACGCAACACTTGACAGTCGAGTACGAGGATGTCACCGAGCATACGAGGCCGAGTTATAGTCCTTGTGACACACGAAGATAGAAGTAATATGGGGCCTTGGCAGTAATCTGATGATTCGTCCCGTTGGGACTGGGACCTTGCAAAGACAAGCCGGGGGAACACTTGGAAGGATTCGCATGCTTGAACAAAGTGCAGGCACAGCGAAGCATGAGGCTCCACGTCGAGGCGCGGCACGGGGATATGATGGTCATTGCAACACGGGTGAACTTGGTTGCGGCAATGGGAATGGAACGGCACGTTTGGCCGGCATGATTGCCGATGCCGCGTCGGGTTCCCGGCTGCCATTGTGGGTCGTCTCGAATTGCCTTATGTAATGGATGCATTAGAAGTGCATTGCTGCATCGCGTGCAGGTCATGAACATTTGCAACTTGACAGGTAACAGTCCCGAGGATAGCGGTCGGCGGCTATGATCCGAGACCGAGGCTTTCGATATGGAGGACAAAGTAATGTGCGACACTGTACATCAGTGAGTGGAACCACTGTCCTCGTCCTGAGCTGGCAACTCCACAACCTCGCACCGCTCTAGTAATCTCTTCCAAACCAGTTTGCTATCGTCTACAGTCTCCGCTGCCCCTACACCTGTCAACGTGTTTTTGTGCCCAACCAACACAACACCAGCTTTCGCCCTTGTCATGACCACATTCAGCCGTCGCATGTCATCCAGAAATCCCAAGGCGTAATGAGCGTTGCACCGAACGGTGACAAACACAATGACGTCAGCCTCACGACCCTGGAAGCTATCGATGGAGTAGACTTCAGCATTCGGAATTGTTGTTGTAAGCAGAGTCTTCTGACGAGTGTACGGTGTCAATATTGCGATAGTAGGGGTTTCGATGGAGTCCTTTGGGGTTGCAGTCGAGCCACTAGATGCCGGTGATGCCTTCAGAAGCTGAATGATACGTTTGCAGACGTCGCCTTGGCCAGCATTCGACTTGGATTGCTGGAAAAGGTCTTCAGGTGCAGCGCATTCGACCCAAACCATACGATTTGTCTTGGGCCAGGGGAAGAGCGAAGGAGGCAGCGGACGCGCGTTGTCAGCTACAGCAGTGTGGAGTTTGCCGTCGTAGAACTCGGAGGAACTGAAATCACAGATGGAGCGATGCATGCGATACTGCGTATCAAGCATAACTTTTGCGACACCTTCTCTCGGTGCTAAATTGTAATGGCGCTCAAAGAGTGAGACGTCATAACCGGTTACCACGGCAGTTTGTTGAACCGTGGCGCGAAGCTGGACATGATCTCCAACTAATATCGCACGCGAACACCCTTTGACAAGAGGCACCAGGGTTGCGGGCTCAGTAAGCTGTGAGGCTTCGTCAATGATAACGACATCGAAAGCCTCGTTACGAAGCAAACCTAAAGCAGCTCCAGTGCACGTAGTAAACACGAGACGGGCCTCTTTGATCCGCTTTTGCGCCTTACGCCTAGCTGGGAAGTTCGCGCTTAGGTCTTTGCCGACCATGGCGTCACACGTGTATGTACGTAAGTCCTGAGCGACTTTGGAAAGCTTGTTATGATATGAGTACAGTTATCAACTGTGTGTGAGGTAACCGCACTTACCTGCGTCGATACCCGAACAGGGACAATGCCGCCATTCTTCGCTTCAGGGTAGGCCACGAATCTCCTCAGCATGTTGTCCACTGCATTATGTGTTGGCGCAGTAATGAGGAATCGTAATTTGGGCAGTTTTTCCAGCAACTGAATAATAATGACGACAATGGTGTGAGTCTTTCCTGTACCCGGAGGGCCCCAGATGAACGTTAATGAATGTTTCATCGAAGCTGCGAGTGCTGCATTCTGACTTCCGTTCAATAATGGGGCGACGGTCACTGGTAGCTCGATACCAATTGAATCACCTTGGTTTGACGGAGGAAGACCGAGAAGCATTGCGTAGATGGCACTGCAGGCTTCGCGCTCTGTGTAGAAAGTAGTTACAGCGTCGAACGATGTCTTACTTGTAACAAAAGACCCACACTGCGTGACACTCCAAGCGCACTTGTCAAGGTACGACGGCGGATGATGAAGGCACCGAAATGCAATCTTGCCTGGCTCAGCAGATGACACAACAGCATCCATCGAGAAGAGCCTTGCGATAACATCATTCTGCGGCGGATCGGATGCTGTAAGCCGAACATGATCTCCAGCTTTGAGCAATCCATTCAAGGAAGAGTCGATACGAAGTGTGCCCTTGACCACTGCATAGCCGTCGCTATAGCCGTCCAAGCGCAGCTCGAGGAACTCTTGCGACTTTAGCTCACGAGCGCTAGATGCTTCATCTACATGGTCGAGCGCGATGCCGAACAACGATGACGTGAATTGCCGAATTGCAGTCGGCCGTCCAACCAGAAGCCGCGGGGTTTCAGGCTCTAAGACCCCAAGAAGAAAATCTAGAGCTGTCTCGGAAGAGCGGACCGTAAGCGCAATAAGCTCCACGATCTCGGCGAATTCTTTCAACGAGATGCACTTCATTTCTTGTAACAGGATTTGGGTTGGACGCCTGGTGAAAGTACCCATTTCCTCCGACAATAGGACGAGGTTCCTCAGTAGCGTAAAGGCCAGGTGGGTGAGGTGTTCTTCCAACGAGGAACTGTGAGTCTCCCACGTTTGAGATTGGAAGAATGCGGGTATCAGGTACACCGCATTCGGTAGGAAGTCGAGGAGAGTCGACGCTACGATCGTCCGGTCTAGCGAGAGGGCGGAGCTTGCTTCAAAAACAAGAACATGCGAGAACGTGTCCAAAAGCATCTTCTTTTCACCATGGTCATTGAGCAAACCAAGGATGGTCGACAGGTCTGACACAGACTTCAGTTTTTGTAGGTGAGCAAAGTCTTTGTCGCGAACCACGGCAACTACTGTCTCGGGGTAGTCTGTCCAGTCTTTAGAACCCAATCTGGGAACATCGTAGTTCTTGTTCGGTTTCTCAAATAGCGGTAAGACTTCATCAGTGTCGACGAAGGTAAGCCACTCGTCAAGCACCCGCATTGAGTTGATGTCTCTGTTGCTGATGACATATATTTCCTAAATGTTATCAGTACTACGGCAACTGTAGAAGTCCGGCATATAGAGCGTCAACCTACCGCACCCAATACCCCATTTTGCTGCACCTTGCCGATATGCTGCTGAAGTCCTCGACCAACTTTGTCCAAAGCAATGCTAGCTTTGCAGTCAAAGTTGACTCCGTCGCGCACAGTAGTCTCGCGTGCTCTGCGTTTGTCTCCTTTGTTCTTCTCATTTCGGTAGAGCGAATCGTCAGCCTGAGGACGCCTCAGAAAGATCCATGTGTTACTTCGCTGACGTTCGTACAATTGAAACATATGCTCATCGCAAAACAACCTGTAATTGACCTTGGTTGGTAGCATTTTGTAATTTGGTGAATGTAGGCCTTGTGAGTGGGGGAAAGCGAAGACTACGACGCCGGTGTCGACTTGAACTTCGCTTGCTCTTTCAATCTTTTTTGATACGTATATCGCAACGCTCAGACGTTCATCCACCGTCAAGATGATGAGTTTCTTGTGGAAAATTTCCAAGGCCTGAGAGACGGTAGGCAAGAATCTTTGCATACGGTCGGTGGACGATCTGAAGACCGGCTTCCAGTGCAGGTGCGGCTGATCTAGGCGAAACTTGCTCACCTCGTCAGGCGTGACGAGTTCTGACTGGAGAAGCCCGTTCCGTACCAAACTCGGCGCAGTTGCAGACGGTGGAAGGCAGCTAAGAAACCATATTTGCTGCTCATCGCTCAAAGCACTGAAATCGAGATGGTGACGGTATTCGAGAATGTCTTCACCGCTATGCTTACACCAACGCAGTAGAAGATGCAGTAATTCAAACTCAGACATCGCCATCTTGTCTCGTGCGAGGAAGAGCTCCATCACGTCGACTTCATCGCAGTCGTTGGGTCGTGTGTTGTCAGCCTGAAGAATGAGCTGGGTGCAAGCATCATGCAGAACATCCAAGATGAAGGGAGCGACGGTATGTTTAGGTTCAGACGGATCCTCCAACTTCGTGAATTCCTTGAGGTCGTCAGGAATCCGGATGTGGTTTCCATCGACGCATTGAGAAAACAACCGATTGAGTTGTTGACATTGCGGGCTCATGGCATGACCGAGGCGCGCCCATTTCATGTAGAGATTTTTGACTTTCCCCAGGGACGCACTGGTGTATCGGGCAAAGTACTCCGCTCGGGCGTCACCGGTCACTTCGCCGAAAGTTACAAGTTCTTTGCCTCCTGGGTACTGGGCGGGCTGTGCCATCGTTCGTGGAATGATATCTGGATCCCAAGTCACAAAGACTAGAAAGATATTAGCGAGTTCGAGACAGATGCATACGAGAGGTTTACATTTGTCCCCATCGAGATCACCGCCTGACATGAGATCAGCGCTTGGTCTGCTCCCTTCAGTTGAGAACAGGATGCAGTCGACTAGATGAGCAAACTCCGGAATATCTACTGCCTTGAATTTCTGGAGATCGCCTGGATGCAAGCATGGATTTCTCGTTACCATCACCTCGGTGTTAATGATGGTATGCGCTCGCCCGTCAACATCAGTTATCCGCACAAAGCATTCACCTTCTCTGAGCTTTCCCGGGTGACCATTCTTGCTACTTGGGTCGCAAACACCGAAGAGAAGCCGTGAGCGGCGGATCAGAATCCGACATCGTTGTTCGTCTCGTTTGTTCAGCATCTTGGTGTACTCTTCTCGAATCATCCTTCCGAGGAGGGTGTGGACAGATCCAATGCCATCTAATAGAAGTCTCTCTGCTAGATCGAGTCTGCCACTGTATGAGAGATACTGGAAGGCTGCCCCAGGATTACCTTGGCTAACGTTATTGAGGAAGTGCAGATGCTGCTGCTGCTTGTCGAGAAGGATATCCGCCGAAATACCCAACGAATGCAAGAGCACCACCACCTCATCGTTTAGGCTACCATAGACGTAAGGCTAAGTCCAGTCAGCTCAGTAGACCAAGAGACGATTTGGAAATCCAACCTTGGAATAGTCTACGACCGCGAAACTGTGATCGGACGCATCCTTGAACTTCCTCATAGATTCTCGAAACTGTACCTGTTCCTTACCCTGAAGGGTAGGGTCTAAGGTCAATACGCCCTTGTATCCACGATATCGAATTTGGAATACGGACGGTAGGTAGCGCTGATTGCGATGTATTATGTTGCGTCTCTGGGCCAGTTGTCGAGCAAGTTGAAGAGATATCAGACCACATCCGTCGGTGAAAACGTAATCATCGCGTTTGACGTCGTCGATGTCTCTGCAGCGTTCCGGGGAGAGATCAAGCACGGCCTCTGCGCTAGAGAAAAGCAGCCCGATTCGTTTTGCCTTCTTGCCTACGGACTTGAGTTTCGAGAGATCACCCATAGCTTCGATCTTGGCAGAGATGTCTTCTTTCGATGCGCCATACATGAAGCAAGATCTGGACTTCGTTTGGCTGTTTGAATGACCAAAGAAGTGGTAGTGAGTCCCATTGAGTACAACGCCAGTGGTGAGTAGTCTTGTGACGTAATCGCCGTTCTCTCTGCCAGTGGCTACGCGTGGTGGGTCATCTGGCGACTTTGAAGGCCAACGCAAGCGGAAGTCCGCCAGCGAAACGAGGAGGAGTCTGTCCAAAGGCTCTTTGCGTGTAACACGGTTGGAGGGCGCGCTTTCAAACCGCAGGACGATCTCCTGCACCGTTCCCGAAGAAACAAGGGAAAAGCACTTGACAAGTCCAGCCGCGTTTGTCTGCCTGGTCTGCGGGAGGTTGGCAACTGTGTAATTCCATGATGTGATCTCTGGATCGAAATCACGCGAGAGCACGACGCGAAAAGTTCGCAAGTTGCTCATTGTTGTGATGGAGAGGAGTGCGCCGCAGTGTTGCAGAAAGAGAGTGGCTTGATGCGGGGTCTACACAGACGAAAGTCTTCGTGATTCGTGAAGGATTGCGTTTGCTTGTGCGACGTTACACCGAACTACCCAAAGCGGCAAAACAAGACTTACCGTAAGAGCAGCGTCTGCCTTGACTTCTGACTCTTCCCCAGCACTCACCACAGACATAATGGCGAATGAGGCAGCCCTCAGTCGCTGTCTTTACATTATCGGCGCCCAATGTACCGGCAAGACGACGCTCGTGAACGCACTCGAAGACGCGTTTCATCAACGTGACACAGCCCTTCCAGTTACAGAGGTAGCCTCGAAGCCGGTGATCATCCGAGAGGTCGCGCGCAAAGTGTTACACGACAAGCAATTCAGCCGCGAGGACATCACTGCATCGCCGTCCCGATCCCTGCAACTGCAGAAGCACATCCTCGACGCGCAATTCGAAGCCGAACAGGCTGCCATAGGTCTTGACACGCCGCAGACCACATGGTATATCTCCGATCGCTCCGGTCTCGATCCTATCATATACGCGCAACTGTTCGTGGGCGAAGGAGCGGCAGGCGAGATGCTCGCATCGGCAAAGTGGAAGGAACTCGAGCGGCGCATGAAGGCGGGCGTTGTGGTGCTATGCGAAGCTGGCTGTAGTTGGCTTGCCGACGACGGGACGCGATTGATGCCAGACGGGACGGAGGCGTGGATGCGCATCGACGACGCGTTCCGAAAGCAGCTTGCCGGTCGGGGCATCCATTACACGCTAGTACCCAATCACGTGGTCAGTCTCCAGGCTCGCGTGCAATTGGTACAGGAGTGTTTGAGAAGCTCATAGCAGTCCCAAAGGCTTGTGAGCGATATCTGTACATGTAACTACGCTGTCGTGCAGTTATCTCTTTCGCTCTCACGTGCATCCTCTCATGTGGCTTCCAAGGTTCCATGGTTAGCGTGGTTTCCCTTAAGGGGGCGGACGCTTCCTCCAACAACAATCAACCAGCAACACACGATACTGATACCTCAAGCTGAGCCCAGCCGCTATACTCGTAAACGCCACTGACGCATCTCGGTCACCTTGGTCCACATGCCAGTTGCGATGATCTCACGTACAAGGCCCGCCTGGCTCGCGAAGCCGTGTGCCCATTCGCTCCGCAGTTGCGCGCGCAACGATGGCGACGAGTTCAATTGAAGGTTTTGATCAAAGGAACTATTTTACACGGTGACAGCGATGGTGGTATCCGACTTGTTCGAAGGTCCGCACCAAGTTGTAGGTTTCCGTCTAGGAAGCGACGTCTGTCTTGGGTAAATCAGCTACGATAGCAGGAAGTAGCGACCAAGACTGAACAGCATGCCAGAACTGTCCAGGATATTAGCCTCATGCGTCTCTGGGAGGTACCACAGTCGCGCAAACAGCAACACCGCAGCAAGTACGACGCCACGGATTGTGAGACCTGTGTAGAGTTCCGTCGCTAACTCCCCTCTGCACGCGCTCCATGCACTACCGGTTTCTCTCAGGACTACATGCTGCTGGGCCGATTCAGCTAAACATTAGCCCTAGGTGTCATTCAGATCACTGCTCATCAGGAACATAAGAATCCCTCCCATACCCGCATCATAAGTCGGCCGACCTGCGATGGGCGATCCTACGTGAGGAAGTCTTCCTGCACTACCGCCCCCGAGCGCGAAGAGAGAGGAAGCGACCAGGAAGATTAGCTGGCGTCTGAATACTCTCGCGATCTACCCGAACAAGAGCTTTGGGACCTACGAATTGACGACGAACTCGACATCGATATCGAACACGAAGCGCAAACCAGTATGTTCGCCCGGCAGGCGTCTGTAGCAAGGGCTCGAATCAATACAGCGACGGCTGTCGGATTTACACCGGATGAGGATCAACAGAGGATATCTTTATTCTATCTACACACTTGACGGCCTGCGTCGCACCCGGATCTTCCCACCATGCAACGGAAGTTTTAGCCACACGGTATCCAACGGTTTCGGCCTGACCGCCATGTGCTCAACGTCATAGTTCAACAGCATGTGCGCAATGAAGACCTTCATCTCATTCAAGGCAAAGAATCGCCCAGGGCAGGCGTGTCGGCCGAACCCGAACCCGAGGAAAGCATCGTCAAGCGTAGCAGTCGACTTGCCCTTCCGGTCGTTCGTGTCCGCTTTAGCAGCCTCAAGGTCGTCTTTGGTTGCAAAGTTGTCGACGATGCTAGTCACATTGTTCGGGTCTGCAAACCGGAACGCGTTGAAGCTGCGTGCTTGGGGATAGATACTCTCGTCATAGTGGATTGGCTCCATTGGAACCGCGATCATGGTACCTTGAGGCACATGAACGTTGGAAACTGGGAGACGAATGCCTTCGGGGTGAACGACCTGCACTTCGTTAATACCAGTCCTTTAATACTTGTTGGCATACATACTGTTCGCGGAAGTCCGACAATGGCGAACGGATTAAGTCTCATTGATTCACGGATCATTGAATCGATGAGCTTCAAATCCCGCACCGCATCGCGCGTCCATACACCACCAGACTTGGCGAGCACGGATGCAGCTTCATCTCGCAGAGCATCAACATACCCCATTGCCGGATCCGAGCTGAAGAGGTCCAGGATGACGTTCTGCACAGTGAAGCTGGTCGAATGAAGGGATATATCGTTGACCAACAAGAGCCGATGCGCCACTCGCTTCGGCTCCAACTGCCCTGCATCTCCCTTTGCGGCTGCGGCGTAGCACTCATCGATAAGCCATTGGAGACCATCTTTCTGGGACCGGGTAAGTATGTTGATGCGCAGCTCGTTAATGCATGGGGCGGAATCCTACCGGTGGTGTCCACCCGCACTTCGGGTCAGCCTTGAAACGGGCAGTAGCGTCCAATCTCTCTGTCACAAAAGGCAAGCAGCCCTTCATTGCTTTTCTGCGCAAGTACCAGCAAGTCGATCCTACAAGAAAGCCAGTCACTGGCTTGAGCGGCTTAGGGGATGCGTTGATAAGCATAGCGCCGGCAAAGATGCTCATTGCATGATCTCTAAGATCGTTCAAGAACTGTTCATCACGACCTGCGACACTATCAGCGCTTGCGCATCTTCCAACCAGGCACCCCGAGCGACTTACACAGCGGCGCGCCGCAAAAGGCGCCGTTACTTGCACCAGCGATCAACTTCAAGCAAGCATCCCATACTGCGACTTCCTTCCACTCTGTGTCGCCTTTCCCTCCCCACCAACGCTCGAAGCCTCTGTCAAGTTCGTCGGCCATCAGCGGCGTCAAATGCTCGAGATTCCGCGTAATCTGATGACGCACGACGTTGATCTGAAAGTCATTGTCGGCTACTTCTTTGTCCCAGACTGTCCATTTCGTTTGGATAGTCTCACTCTGCGTCGCGTGGATATCG